TGTAAGGGTGTGAAACTTTGTCTCTGACATTAAGGGAGGAACATAGACTGAGGGTGTTTGAGAACAGGGTGTTAAGGAAAATACTTGAACCGGAGATGAAGTGACAGGAGGTTGGAGAAAACTGCATAATGAGGAGCTTCATAACTTGTACCCTTCTCCAAGTATAATTAAAATGATCAAGTCAAGGAGGATGAGGTGGGCAGGTCATGTAGCACGAATGGGGGAGATGAGGAATGTGTATAGGATATTGGTGGGACAGCCGGAAGGAAAGAGACCACAGGGACGACTAAGGTGTAGGTGGGTGGACAATATTAGACTGGATCTTAGAGAGATAGGATGGGATGGTATGGACTGGATAGATCTGGCTCAGAATAGGGACCAGTGGATGGCTCTTGTGAACACAGTAATGAACCTTCGGGTTCCATAAAATTCTGGGAAATTCTTGAGTAGCTGCAGAATTGGTGGCTCCTCAAGCAGGGCTCACCTCCATGAGTAAGTAAGTATTCCTATATCTGTAAGTGATCTTTTCCCCTTACTTGCCCTGACAGTATTGGGCAAACAGTACAAATTATGAACCTCCTCATTACAATTTTCTCTATCCCTCATTGTGCCCTCTTCCTATTTCTCTTCACGTTTTTTCTTAAACAGTCTCAATCTCAGTTCTTCTCTTAGAGTGATAGACCAAGTTTGACAACCATATAAAACAATAGGTACAACTGTAGTACAAGAATGATACAGATATAAAATTATTATGTAATTCTGAATGTATCCTTTGTTGCAGCTACCCTTGGCATTGCTGTGTTACGTATATATGCAGCATGTATCATGACATCATTAGAAATGGCTGGGATTCAGGTCTCTGCATTAAAGATTTCTGGGGCACACAAGGAAGACTGGTTGAACTATCTTGATGCAGAAACTAAGGCATGCGCCTGGTGTGGGTCTCCCATGTCCATTCCACCAGAAGAGCCACTGAAGGACACTCCTCCCCCTGAAAATCATCCAGAGGAACACAAGGTTGGTATTATGTGAGAGTACTGAGCATCAAATATAAATAATTAAAAAATATAGTCGATTATACCAATTGGATGCTTGCCAAGAGTATTGCTTTTATTCAACTAACATTATTTCTTTTAAATGAGAAGGCAAGCAATATCTGTTAGTATAAATTACTATAGACTATATAACTTATGCAAGCCAGAATTTCTGTACAATTAACATGGAAACAAAATTTCCAGATTCTGATCTTCTGGATTATGACAGATGACAATGAGAAAGATGTAATGACAGATTTTTTTCTTTGTTTCAAAGCTTGAAGGACCTACTATAAATGCAGCGGGGTCTGAAATATTAAGAAGATGCCTTGAAGCAGTTGCACTGTCTGTAATTTCCAATGAGGGTCATCTGAATGAACTTGATAGTGCTTGTGGCGATGGTGACACAGGCACAACACTGCGCAGAATGGCTGACGGTTGGTATCCATTGGTGGAAACGCTTAAAAGCCATTAATTTATAGAAAAATTATAAAAATTGCCATTGCTTTAATTTCAATATAGAACTTAAGTGGTGCACGAAAAATCTCTACAAAATGTAGCTTTTTTTTCACTGTATGCTTATGTTAGATGCACAGAGTGACTGTAAAATCATAAAGACACCCTAAGAAGTTCAGTGAAGAATATGTAATGCCCATTTCCTTCATAAATTTCAGTCTTTGTGGGACATGAATTTAAAATTCATTTCAATGCATACATCTCAGATGTCACCTATAAATTTTGCATATTCACCATTTAATATGTTGTCCTGTAAACAATGATAGGTAGAGACTTTGTAGATATGTTTATGATTTATCTCTGTGCAAAATTTCAGAGGCTTAGTTCCAGTGGAAAATTAATTATCACTGACAAATCAAACGGTAAATTTTCATTTAATGTGCCTCAATTTTACTGTTTTACATTCTACAAGAAAATTACCGTATCAAGAGATGTACATGCTTTAAAACTCTATCATCTCAAATAATTTCACAGCCAATTGTGAGATTCTCTCAGAAGTGAATATTAAGATTACAATCCTCAAATGACAGAAGCAACTAGCCCCTCCAGAACATTAGTTTCTAACTACTGAACTACATGGCATTATGTCCCAAAAGGCCATAGTCTTAATTTCAAGTTCCTGTGCTAGATTTTAATGCTAATATCACTCCTATCTCCCATGATTTTTATAGCTGTCATAATGTGCTTATTGATGATAAAAAGAAAAATATAGGTACAAAGAAATGATGGTCTCCAGTGGCATCAGATTCACGTTGATTTGCCTCAAAATCCACAATTGGTTATAAAGTTATTTTATGGGGTCAAAGATACCACAAACACAAAAACTCAGTACACCTATTAGATACTATAGGGTTCTGACGATGGTGTATAACACACAGAGATACTTGGTTTTCAGACTTTGCCAATCATCCAAATTCTAAATAACTAAAAACACAACGTTTCAGAAACTGGATCTGTTTCCAAAACATTGTGTTTTTAGTTATTTAGAATCCAGACGATGGACAAAGTCCGAAAAAGTATCTCTGTGTGTTATACACCTATCTTTCTTAATAAATATGGGTAGCTAGCTAAAATTTCAGATTTGCTTCTGAAGAATTAATCAGAGTACCTTTCTTATCTATTTGTTCAATTTTTTAGGTATTCTGCTCCAATTAGGAACTTTACCAGTATCACATCCTAGTACCTTGCTAAAGCAACTCAGTTCTATTGCTGAAATGACAATGGGCGGTACATCAGGTGCTCTCTACAGCCTCATGTTGACAATGACAGGAACGGCTTTAGGGGCCAAGGTTAAAGCAGTAACTGCAAGGACTTGGGCTGTAGCTTGGATAGCTGGTACAGCTGGGACACTGCGCTACAGCCAGGCAAAACTGGGTGACAGGTCCATGGTTAGAATCATGAGATTCTTGTTGAAATGCCACACTCTTTTATCTGTCATATTAAGTATACTAATAGTTTATAATTTAAAAACTTACATAATTAGATATAGTTTTCAGATATTAATTAACTTTTAATGGAAGCAACATTTGATCAGTAACTGAAAGAACCTTTCATGATAAAGTGTAAAACCCTCGTTAATGTAATATGTGAGATGGGACAGATGGAGAATGCTGAGATTCTGGGTACTATATTACATGACCAGTTTTCTTTCTGTTTTTATTTTCTTTAAAGAAATAGGCTGTTATCTTATTTGAGGTGAATGCATAAAATAAATGAGATTCAATATTTTGGGGGAAAATACACATAATTCATAATTCATCTGGATGCTCTAACATATACTGAAACTTATATATAGAATATCATATTAATATAAGAACATTTTAAAAGCAGATTATATTTTTGTTGCCTTTATCAACACATTCTCACTTAGTTCACATATATTTCTGTCTTAAATGAAACTTATTATCAAGTCACCCTTCTTCCTCACTACATGTTTCTGCTGTATACAGCCATCATCAGGTGCCCTCTATCTTGATAAATTGTTGCACTGTATGTCAGAATTACATATCATGTGTGAACACAATATTTCCTAATTAAAATAAATTGACCTTAATTCAGATTAATTAACATCCCAGTGTTTTTCTTGTGGTTGTCGTCCATTCATTTAAAAGGTATCTGCTTCAGTATCTCTTGTTTTAGACCTGTTTGTGCATCGTTCCCTCCATGGCATGAATATTATGCGTTTTACTTGCACAGATCATAAGGATGTTGATGTAATGTTATTATCAGTTTTGTTATGTATGAACCTCTGGCTGTAGCTCCTTCCACGCTGCCAGAGTATTTGTGTTTCTAATTGGTTTATGTGTATATACAGACCAATTAGCAACATGTATTATACTATTATTATCATAACTCTATATTTGTAATTGTTGACCTGTAAAAAATATTCAAAATAAAATAAGTAGGTGTGTTTGTGATATGTTCCCATACAAAATGTTTCTGTGGTTCCATAGTTATTGCCATCAAATCGAAAGCTAAATGTAGATTTCATGTATTTTCTTGTAAGGTAAAAAGGTAAAGTTGTCCCTGTGCTTAACTAATTAAGCACTATGCCATGAAGGGATGTGGGGGAGTGCATATATAGATCATGAAGGGATGTGGGGGAGTGCATATATAGATCAATGTTTTCTTGACCTCAGCACTACATGAATGTGAATGGTCAGCTTCATGCCTTGGCCACATTGCCATCAGAGAAAAGCCTCTACCCATTGGATAGAAGGCTGGATGTGCACTAGAACTGGTCTGGATGACCTGATGAATGGAAAATTCTTGACCCTAGCATGACTTGAACTCTGACCCCACTCTCATCCAAAACACAGCCAGTCACTCTACCAAATGTGCTATCCTGGCTCCTCATATTTTCTTGTATTTCACTTTATACAAAATAACAGCCCTAAAAAAAGCTGCATTTTTTTTAAGCTCTACTGCCATACAAAATTTGAGGACCCTACATGGGTGGCCTATTGTTGCTCCTACATCACAAGTTTGCACAGCAGCCATATTAGTATCAATGATGGTAAGAAATTTAGAGTACAAAGGAATGAGGGTCACTTCTAATACCATGTTGTTTATTTCATGTTTAATAAAATTACATACTCAGCTCAAAAGATAATGTGACAGGTTGGCAGATGGACATCATTCTTTCATTCATTCCATTTATTTTCCATATATCCATACAGGTAACAAACCTAGGATGTGGAAATAGTCCCTTTGAAAATAGATAAGCATGATGATACCGTATGTCCAGTTTTCTATATAATATACATAAAGTATGGTATAAAATAGGTCACAATAGGCATTATTTGGTATAATTTTTAATATCTTTAAAAATGTGCAACTGATTTCTTTTCTCTCCAGTTTGATGCTCTGTTGCCTGCTTGCATGAAATTTGAAAGCTATAAACCTTCCACAGTAGAGGAGGGACTCAGAGCCTTGGAAGCTGCAGTAGTGGCTGCAGAAGAAGGATGTGAAAAGACACGCTACATGAAGGCCAGGTATGGATAATCTGTAGGTTTTTTCACCATCTATTTTCATAAAAAAATTCACATACATAGCTTTAGAAGTTAATTACTTTTACCACCGTGCTGAAAGCCAAATACATACATACATACATTTCATTTCACAAGTCCAAACAAATGGACATGAAGGTCGTCATACAAAAATTTAAACAAACACACAGATAACGAAATAATTAAAACTAATTGCTTACGTTATGCTCCACATATTCAGAAACTGTATAAAATTAATTATTCATAAGATATAAAAACAAATTTATACAAACACACAGATAACAAAATAATTAAAACTAATTGTTTATGTTATGCTCCACATATTCAGAAACTGTATAAAAGGAATTATTCATAAGATATAAAAACAGCCTATTTTTAAAACTAATTCTATCCTCTTTAAGGCTTTGAATGTTTATGGGCAATCTGTTGAATAGTTTAATGGCAGTAAACATAGTACCTTTCTGAAAAGCAGAAAGATTCGAGTTTGGCAAATATAATTGCTTTCGATTTCTTGTATTCAAACCATGAACATCTAAACCTGAACAAAATTTAGTTTGATTATCAATCACAAACATCATCAACGAGAGAATGTATTCACATGACAATGGCAGTATATTCAATTCAATTCAATGCAGATTTTGTGTGGTTGCCATGTTACTATTTTACTTTATACAAAAGGCTGCTTTAACAAGTGTCTTTAGATCTATTACTGTCCATAATTACAGGCCCCCATATTAAGTGTCAGTAGTGCCAGGCCTGTCTCTATTTGAACTACCATGTTATTATGATTGATTGTAAGAAACTGAGATACACATGACTAGGGTGACCACTAGCGGCATAATATACTAATACAATTTTGTACAAATCAGTCAGTTTCGTGAAAAGGGAAAACACAGACACACAGAGACAGCATGGTTATTTTGTAAGCATACATTTATTCCTTAAGAAAGGAAATCAGTTAACGAGATAGGAAAGAAACAGAGAATGTTCTGGACCCCCCATTCTTCAGAAAGAAGAAAGCTATTAATTTCTGCTTTTTTCAGTTACATGGAAAGTAGAGGGAAATTTATTTTGAAGGTTAGTTACTGATGAAGCCTGTACTGAAGGGTGCAGCCTTCTTCCAAAAATATATTGAGCTGTTACACTGGTAAATTTAGCCAAATTGCTATAGTCTAATATTAATTGAATGTTCTAATAGGAGTGGGTGATATTAAAACTATCAAAAATTGTTTAACAATACTGTATGTATTAGTGTAACAATCTTCATCTCATAATTTTCCAACCTGATTTATGTGAAAGGAATAGAAGGTATTTTTAAAGTACATAATTGCCTTTCTTTGCTTTGATTTTATTGTTATAATTGCTTATGCTGCAGTCTTTTTTGCAACACCCACTTTCCCTCCCAGTTAACTGATGGGGGGATGATGGGTGGTTTGAATTCCATGTTGAAAATAGCCCTTGCCTAACATGTAATAAAAATGTCAAATTAAAATTCCAAATTCTCAAAGTTCAAATTTCCTTCCTGTGTTGAATACATATTAGGGGCCCTGAAATATCTGCTTTTCTCACACAATTCCACTTTTCCCCCTGAAAACAATATTCTGCACCCTGCCATTTCTCACTATCCATTTTCCACCTGTGAGGAAGAACTGAATGTGCCACTTTAAAGGGCAATTTTTCTACCACTTCTCCATTGGCCCAGATCAGTTTCTTCTACCATACCTCCTTCCTTGGTTACCAACCTTGTCTACATAACTGAGCCAGTTCCTTAACCAATACTCTTCAGTCCTGAAGATGCTTTCAGCTCATGTATTAATTTTTGTAAGATATTTCTTTGATGCCCAAGAGAGAGAGAGAGAGTGTGTGTTGCTGTTTGTAAAACAATGTTATAATTTTGAAAGTGAAGATATTATTTATCCTGATCTTGAATCCATGCCTTATTGAAATCATTGGCTTCATCCTATTCCTCAGAAATCAGTAATTCTTTTAACAATATTTCATACCAGCTCTGTAACATATGAAGAAAGAAGAAGGTTGTTCCTTCTCTTTGTCCCTTTCAGTTTTATACAAAGATCGGATCCCCTCAGAGTAAGACTCTGTGAATCTGATTAATGTGGGGATCCTACAATGGTTTGGAGCCCACTTCTTCCCCACCAGTCATTATTTATATATTTATTTTTATTATCATTCATCAATCCATTCATTATCATCATCATTATCCATACCATCATTGTGCCCTATGGGGTAGAAGCGTCAGCCTCATAAACAGTTTACTTGTAATAATCACTTTATCCAAACTGCATCATTGGTATGGCAGAACTGCAGTATTTAGTTAACTGTTCCAGAGTTGGAAGAGCAACATATGTGGATGCCACTCATGTCACTGATGTGGATGCTGGAGCATATGGCGTGACAGTTTGGTTAAAGGCAGTTTTCAATGAGCTTAAAACTTGTTTCCAATGACATCAGAGAACAGGAACATTTTATATAATAAATACCCTAATGTATCATCATTTTTCCACTCTCAGTTCATGAATAGGCATGTCAAATATTACTTTCAGTATAAGATAAATTGAACAGATTAGCTCAGTAATGTTGCATATGATTTATATTCAGGAAGTACAATATCTGGTGGGACCTTCCTGGGACCAGCTGTTCAGATTCTCATTTCTGAAGATGAATGTTGGAATAGTAGAAAGTATCTTAAACTAAGTTTCACTTACACTTCCAGCCACCTTTTGGAACGGGGGTGAGCAAAAACGAGCCCAAGTACCCAGTCTTTCCCTAACAATACTTCCAGTCACCCTATAGCAACATATTAAGTTTGTAAAACAATGTATTAGAACTGTGTACTGTCTGTGTACCCTTACATTATAAATGTAATTCACTTAGTCATAAGGTTAAAATAATGTTACAGAAAAAGAACACTTTTGGACTCAATTTTGTTTTGTTTTGTTCAGTTTAATTCTTTTTTAACTCATAGCCCTCCTTAAGAAGAACAGTTGTATGTTTGTATTCATGTAAAATATTTGTATGGCTGTAAATATTGTAAAATATAATAAATACACTGCCTTTGAATTAGCCTTCTCTTGTGAAGACTACAGACTTTTAGGACATGATAGCATGTAATTTGGTACACAGTACCTATGTTTTGGAGGTAACTTTTGTTGTCACCTTGGGGGCAGAAGAGTGTGAATAGGTTTAAAGATGTGTCAGCATAACTATTCTCTGTGCATGGGTCAGAATCAAACTAGATCACCTACTGAACCCAGTATAAAATTAACTAGAAGTAGACCTGTTTGAGATTGTACAGTGGTCTAATACTAGGTAAATAAAGCAAATAAAGCACCATTAAATACCGCATTAATAATCTAAATAAAACAGGCTGTATGTGGGCCAATAAATCTTAAAACAATATAAATAAAAAGTGGAAATGGGAACTATAATGAAATCAGGCAAATAAACGTGCAACACCTATACCATTAAGGAATTTAACATTAGTAACAGAGGATGAGTTGGGCAGGGCATGTACCACGCATTGGAGCAAATAGGAATGCATACAGGGTTTTGGTCGGAAGACCGAAAGGAAAAAGACATTATCATAGATCAGGCGATAATATTAAACTGGATCTTTGTGGAAGAGGATGGGGTGGTATGGATTGGAATAATCTGGCCCAGGGTAGGTACAAGTGGTTGGTTCTTGTGGACATGTCAATGAATTCGGGTTCCATAAAACGTTGGGAAACTCAGGAGGGTCTCTCTTTCATGAGCTAGATTGGGCTAGATTACGAAAGTGTTGACCACGGGTCAATACGCAAAGACTTTGTTGTTTTTCGTACCATTCGCCACAGCGACCGTTCAGGATCAGTGATGATTTGTCGGAGCCATGTGAGACGGTCTGAGATTATAGTGCTGTACTCTTTGCCAGTGATCCGTGTGAGACGGTCTGGGATTTGGCGCTTTGCTCTTTGTCAGTGATCCGTAGTTGGAAGCGCATGTTTTATTAGTTGCGGTTAGGAAGTTTCTGCGACGGAAGCCAAAATTCCTGTCTTAGAACAGAAGTATATAAGAGCAATTTCTTTTCCAGAAAAGATAACAGTTAATACAATTCATTTACACCGTGGTTGAAATGTGTGTATGAACTGAGCTTCTAAGCATCAAAATTAGAGTGCCCGCGTGTTTGCCGGAACTTGACGCCCGTAAATATAGAAATGGTATCAGAAGCGACCTGCATATTTCAGGGCGTCGTAACTTTTTTGTTAATCGAATATTTGTGGGAATTATACTTATCTATACGGCAGGTTTGTTTGAAGTTATTTGTGTTAATTGTAGTGGATCATTATAATGCTTTGGTTCTTGTATTTGAGATGTAAAAATGGCATGCTTTCCAATATCAAATTTTCATGTTAACATTTAGTATATCCATTGTAGGATGTCAGAATACAAATATATGATACTTTTACAGACACATATCCAACATGTTATATGAATATGTATGCAAACTTAGTTGTTACAGATTAGAGACGACTTAGAAAAATGTTGTATTAAGTGTGGAGTGAATTTGTCAAGACGGTCATAAGCATTACAATATTGTAACATGATTCTGTACGTGTTCTAAATTTTGAACAAATTCAGGCTATAGGGTGGATGGCCAGGGTTCGATTGCAAGTAAGAGCAAGATTTTTCTTTTCACAGCATTCAGAACTGCTTTGAGGCGTACCCAGTCTCATTTTCAGTGAGTATCAGGGTCTCTTTCCCCACAGTTAAAACAGTTTGGTCATGAAGCTGGCCACTCAGCTCCATTTACTGTCAAGGTCAAGAATGATAGAGCTATACCAACACTCCCTCCATATTTCTTCAAGATATATTGCTTATATGTATTGTTAAGCACAATAGACCACTGTAGGTTGTGGTGCAAGGGCCGAGAAGGCCTACCCCTCATACATTCATTCATAATTGTATTGTTGCTGTTTTAAATTTTGACTTTATTTACTTGTGAGGACATACACAGTCAGAGAGTCAGAGTAGGAGGGCAACTATCGGAGGAAGTCAGAACAACGTCAGGAGTACCGCAAGGAAGTGTGCTGGGCCCACTACTGTTCCTCACCTACGTCAATGATATTTGGAGAAATATTGAGTCAACTATTAGGCTATTCGCGGATGACTGTATAATATATAGGAAAATTAAAAATAATAATGATAAGGAAAAGTTGCAGATAGATCTGAACAGACTTGGGAAATGGGCGGTTGAAAATGAGATGAAAATTAATCCAACTAAAAGTAAGGCAGTTTGTTTCACGAGGGCTCGAGTAACGGAGCCACTAAATTATTCGTTAGGGGGCACAGTAATCCCAGAAGCGAGCAGCTGTAAATATCTGGGAATAATTTTACGCAGCGACCTAAGCTGGTCTGATCAAGTTAATTACACTGTGAAAAGAGCCTGGAAGGCAC